CGCCATCGGGTCGATTATCAGATCGCTTGATGACCTTGAAGCCCAAGGCTTGACGAGGGGTCGACGGAGTTTGCGCATTTTCGTAATCAATCACTCGCTGACCAGCGACGGCTGAGTAACCTTCGGCAGAGGCTGGATCATCAACACTCAGCCGACGAAGCTTCTCGTCGAGCTGGGCGGCGCTGACGGCGTCAGATGAGTCACGGTGCCCTCCATCTGGAACAGATCTTGGGGATGCGCTGCCTGTCTCCTCGCGACGAAGGACAGCGACGCCGTTGGGCTGCTGACGCGAACAAAAGCCATGCTGAACTGAAGTGGTGGTGTCCGTAGGGTTGTCTTGTTGATGTTGCGTTTCTGAAGACTCTATCGGCCAATGTTGCATAAAGCTGTGGAACGGGAGGTCGTGGGCAGGTGGCGGGCGACTGTGCAAGGACAATGTGCACAGTCTTGGGAGATGTAGATGCTATGTTCGAAAGAACAAGTATGCGCGGAATGCGGGGGAATTGCGAATCGATTGCTACTTGAGGGTGTGATAACGTGTCTAATTCGTGTATGATGCCTAAGTGAAGCTTTTCGTGGTCGCGTTTCGTGACGAAATGACCTACCGTCCCGGGAGATTGCGGGCGATGGAACATCCCCGGGCCGGTGCTTATCAGTGGCGGGGTGTAGCGGTTTTCTTATCGGAATCACTTCAATGCCGTCATCAACACCATCACCAAAACGTTTTGTCAATCAGGTCCACTTCATGTAGGATATAGACAGAGAACCAATCAACTGGTTGATACATTTGGCTAATCGGCCACATGTGAACGCTTGCTGTCATTTCACATCAGTCTTCGCTACTGCCACAACTTCGATGCGCCGAAGCAACCGCAGTGTCAAAAAGTCTTCCCGCGCTAATTGGCCTCAATGACTCAATGAGAAGGAAAAAAGTACCTGACGGAGCTAATGGATGTTGAGACCACCCGCTACACTATAGACGTATCAACTCTCACAACCAAGTCGAATGCAATCCAAGCATGGAACAAGAATCAAACATTCCCAACGCAGCCTCAGGGAGGAATGACAAAAGGTGAAGATGCGGCCAGTGTGGATTGAACATACGACCTTCAGATTAAGTGATTGAAGTTGACTTCAGTCTGACGCTCTCCCAACTGAGCTATGTCCGCCACGATCTTCGAATTGCGATGTCGGAATCCCTGGCGCAAGCAGAACAAGTCCCCATTGCAAGTGGGGAGCAATCTCGCAACGCTTAGTTGGTCTCCTGGAGTGGGACTTCGAGAGTTCGCCCTTCCGAACGTTGACAAGAAGAGATAGATCGTGGTGGTCGACTGTACCTGAGGGAAACACATGGAAATGCAGGAAGCACTCGGCAGGTGGCCTCCATCAAGAGGGCGAATTACAGAAAAAAGGGGGCAAGGGGTTTGCTGAATATTGTTTCTCGTCAGCTTCCCCCTCAGCTGTTTCGGGTTCTCTCCCGACTCCTCCAGCAGCCCCAAGGTTTCTCAGAAGAATTGACGCGCGAGTGCGGCAGGTTTGACAGTTTGCTTGACATGCCGAGACAAGGGACAATAACGGCTGACAACAATCTGACAGATTATTTACGACAAGTTCGCAACCAACAAGTCCACGCTAGCAGTGTCAGTCAGGGCCCGCCGCGTTGGTAAGGATGGCAGTTAATATCGGCCTCATCCTGCTGACCTGCTTTCGTTTGTCCCGGTCCACCTCAGCAATCGGGCCCTCTTCTTGAAACAATTTCAACTTTACGATGTTGCTCGACCGAGTTTCCTCCAAGTTCCCTGTCCGTATGCGAAGGTACTATTAGACAAGAGTACCGGGCCTCTGTGCCCCGGAGTGCAAATCGACCATGGCACCACCGAGCGGCCGACGGTCAGCCTGAACCGTGACAGCCACCGACCACAGCCGCCCCAAGTGGTATCATGGAATTCCGGTACGCCCCCAAAGACGGACCTGTTCCGATCCAATTACCTTGGTTCCGCCTCGTGTCTTCCCAAAGACTCCAAAGCGGCCTCCGGAGACCTTTATCTTCTTTCCCGCCTGCTGCGACACCAGCACAGAGTCAACTCTTAGCGGCTCAATTACCAAGTATCGAGCGTCTTTGCAGTTTGCACCGTCATCGTGGCATCGCCTCCCATCACCATTCTCATGAGAAGAAGCACATACGCCTTGCGGATACACACCCCCAACTTTTCAAATCTTGGACACCGACTCATCATGCTGCCGCAGTTCCGCACAACATGAGTCGCGCGGCCAAGGCAGAGCAATCTGGCAATCTCAGCCCGGTTACCAACACACAGGGTTCCCGGGGCTGGGCCGCGTAACGGTGCCAAGAGACCATGGCCCAGTCCCCTCCCATTTCCCATTCTCTCTTTCGCACCCCCCTTCGTCCCTGGGCCCTGGCACCTCCAAATCTCCATCTTCGGTGAAGCCCTACGAAGAACGAGTGGAAACCCTCCCCTGGAACTTGTGTGTTCGGATGTCAAGGGTCCTCTTCCCACACTCTCCCGCGCTCTTGACTCTCGCGGGTCGCTCTGTACGGAGTACTCTGTTCACGGGGGCGGATACTAACAAATCCCATCGGTGCGGTCCAGTTCCTTTTTTTCGCGCTTCAGCCGTCGCTATAATAACCCATGTGCGGCACAGCAGAGACTTACTTGAATCTCCGGGGCTATTTGATACGATAGACAGCTATTATGCCTCGGCGACTTCATCCATACAAACTCAGGGGTGTCAAGCGGCTCAAGCCCTCTCTCGATCATCAGATCATGGCATCTGAGGCAGTTTCCTCCACCACTGAGTCAGGACTTATCACTGTATCCCTCGATTCCCAGATTTTCTTGATGATCTCTCATCTATCACAAAGACCGTGCACTGTAGCGCACTGACAGTCAACTGAGCAGACACACAAAATATTAAGAATTCCCGACTTCCGGGGGCTGGCCCCGAACCACAAGATTCCAACATCCCCCACCGCATGGGTACCCAGAACGACATCCAGGATCCTAGGGTAACCATACAAATATCCACCTCCCAAGTCCACTTCATTCAAAAACGGCCGAGTCAAATCTGTGAGAGAAGGGAGCCACATCGTTATGGTCAGAGTGACGTAGGTCTCCGCATAGTCGCCCATTCCCTTGGGCCGCGCTTGGACGGAGAGGAGAGCGCAGAAAGGCAATTCATTCGGGCCAAGAGAGCGTCTCCATTATATCTGTGGATGTGGACATGGAGCCCACCATGAAAAACACCACAGGGCCCCTACCACAGATATCGACAGCTACCTAATCACACTCCGCGCTCCTCGCATAACAAGCCCTGGCCTCGACTCGCTCCAAAAGGCTGAACAATCAATACGGGCAGAAAAGACTTCCACGTAAGGAAAATGGGCAATGAGAGCATTCCCCGGCCTTGTCGGCACACAAACTCACAACATACGGATACACACATCTTACCAAAGACTACGGATATTAGACGTCCCTTATACGGTACGGGCCAGAACGACGGGGGGCCCAGTCTTGCCCGCGGGTGTCTTCTTTCCCCTTCCAGGTCTAGCGTTTTGGAGCCAACGCTGAAAGGGGCCCTGTCAAAACGGCTGTCAAAAAGTCAAAATGAAAGTCATCTAAGAAACTTCCCGATACGCCCAGAAGACTGCAGTCCACGACTCCTTAACCTAGGATCCAGTGTTTCCCTCTCCTGTGTGGGTTGTCCCTGACAAGAAAGTCTCATGAAGAAGGGATCACGAACCAGGGTCAATTGAACTTACTGCCCCTTCTGGGAAAACATTTCTGGTTTGACGCAGGTAAAATACTGTGCCAAGCCCTTTCAATGAGCAAAAAAGACATACACCATGAACACGAACCATCACCCCCCATAAACTCCTTGCAAAGTTGCCTAGATTCGTCTTAGGACAGGCATTCGAGATGAGCTCTCTCCCGCTGATGCCGTCGTCCATCCTATTTCCTCACGTCTAGTGTACCTGCCATGGCCACCGCAGCATTCCGTCTTCCCGCGGTCCAGCTTCGGTGCAGAGAGAGCAGGCAAAGCCTGAACATAACCCCCAGTTCAATAGGAACTCTGGCACTCATCCGAAGCTTCCTTACACTAAACTTCTTGCTCAGCCTTCAGGGGCTTCGTCCGAAATGGAGTCCCTGTCAACTTTGTAGTTCCCGTATGTACTGAGTCTGCAAGTGCAAAGAGAGTTACAATTTCAACGGGGCCAAAATGCAAGGAGACAAAACTCGCAATGCTGATCAGCAGTTGACAACGCCCTATTCAGTCTAAACCAGAATCAAAACATAGAAGACAACGACCTCACGCCAGTGCCCCTAGCGAAAGAACGATTTTCCCTTTCCCAAACCCCGACCCCCCGGTCCGGCGCCGCGGGTCCTCCCGCTCGCCTCTCAACGCCCTTCCAAACTTCCCTGGGAGGAACCCCGTTGCAAGTTTCAACTCCCTCAATATCCGCCGCCTGCCGGTCCAATCGACAGTGGTGCCCAACGTACGAACGAGCTCCATCAAACCCGAAAATTTAAGAGAGAACACTGGGGAATTTGGTTCTTCATCACACCGGTACGCAGGGAAGATAGACAAGAATTCGGACCCAACACACCCAACTTCGCCCTTGATCGCCAATATACTTCCCAGGTTGCATATAGTCGTACGTAACGGGTGACGGCGCGGGACATCACAGCCCTCTGACAGGGAGACACCATGAGCATGGTTTCCGCAATCAGAGGCTCGGAGCAGAGTCTCCTATCTGCATCCTAGTCACCTAGTGACATTGCCATACACGGATACAGCGCGTCAATAACGTCTCTCTGTTCGCTTCTATTTCCATAACCCCTGGCTGTAATTCAACGCGTCTACCGGGGAAGCCACGCGCTGCCAGTGTCGCACTGCTCGTTCGGTCGTCGCCTATAATTGTCGTCGTCGAATGTCGACACACCACAATAGGTGGGTAGGGATCTTTGCCGTGCGAAAGGATGGAGACAAGAACGATGCGTTCGCAACCACCCCACCAAAGGCGTTCAAACGAGCGACCTCTACCGCTGCTCTACGGCGCATCTCCCGACGTGGACAGTGCAAGACCCCATCCCCATCTAACCCCCCGAACTCCTGTCCCATTCGGGGCCTCGCAGGACTCCTCAACCGCCGCTGACCTGCCCTCTTGGGCACAGGCCGTGCAAGGCCCCGAACCACAGCGCTCTTGGCAAACAATGACTACTCCGTACGGAGTACAGAAAGAGCCAGCTATCATGAAACGGGACTTCTTTGCTAAAGCGGTCGAACAACCCTCCGGGGCACCGGGGTCGAACGAAGCCCCCAACAGAGTTCACTTTCATTGGCCCTCGACCACCCTGAACCTGACTACGGAACACAAGCCGTCGTTGCCTCGTTGGTGGGTGATGACTACCCAGTTCGGCGTTGCCAGCCCGTGTCGAATTCCGCGTTCCTCCCATTGGCGCGCTCCGTCGCTCTTACTGTGTCGTATGAAACTTCGTAAATCTCATAACCCCAACATGCCAGCGCGCAGACGAACTTCGGATATTCTTCGCAAGATTCGCACAATCAACGTCTGTGTGCATAAGTGTTTTGTCGTCCGATGCGTCCGCCCTCTGCCCAGTGCCGCCTGGGCAGAAAAAGTATACCTTACTGGCCTACGTGCTTACCAAGGCGCCAAGCCAAAAAGTCTTAGGACACAATGCCGATGGGGGGAAACAAACCCCAGGCTATCGGCGTGTAGACATGCTGTTGTAAAGTAAATCGGCCCTTTGCAAGGACGAGCGCATGTCGAGTATTGAACATCACTATCCTGAGGCCTGCCCCTGGCACTTTGACACAGGCAAGTGATCGATAAGGCACGTTCGGATGATCTTCACGGCAGTTGTACGTAGTATAGTAGCTAGCTGCTCAAATCTGCGAATGCCTTCATCACCAGCTCGTGATATGGGTCTCGAGTATCCGTAAAAATTGGACATCAGTGACTACAACTGCGGAAAAAGGTCCGAAGTTCCGGCTAGTGGAGCAGCACTTGTCTCGTAGCTGATGGTATCTACGGAGTAGCGGCATCGACGACAGACCCCTGGGCTTGCAACGTATCTCTTCACAACTGTCGTGGTTCTTCAAGTATAGAGGTTTTCAAGCGCATGTTCAAAAGTTTCAACCCCCCTTGCCTCTTTCAAGAGCAAATTGTTTTGTGTGTTGCCTTGTCAAAGTTGGATGGCATCCAGAAACGATAAAGAAGGCCTATGGGCCTACAAGTTAGGTAGCTGGTGTACAATCATACGTATAGACCTCGATAACGAACAGGTCGCGATTTCCAAACCCCGGTCACAATGGTGAGCATGCCTGGCGAAATGTCGCCATCGTGGTCTAGGTCCTCCACTCCAGCGCTGCGCTGCGCTGACAGCCCGGTTGCGAGAGCGAAGACATTCCGGATACTGAACAAACTCAACATGCAACTCTGCAAATTGTGTCGTCGTCAGCGCCGAGAATGAAGACAGCTTGTGTGGTGCACGAGCACCATATCGCGAGGCGAAGATGGCGTGCTTCGTTTCCCAAAGTGAGCCGCTTTGACAACTTTGTCAACGGCAATTTCGCTGGCCGAGAGAATGCCAAAAATTACGGGATCCGATTGCGAACTCTGCTGCCCCGGGCTTCTCTTCGAAGCGGTCATCTGAACGATATCCAGGGCCGAACAGTCCAAGATTGCCCTTTCTTCCCAACGCCCGTTTCGTAGTGAGTAGTAATCCACAATCTTCCGAACAGTCCGCCGTTTACTGCGCAATGCCCCAGCGTGGCCGAGATTCGAATGTTTCAGGGGAAATCGCATCGCATCCGCCGAATCTTCACCGTGTACGGAGTAGAGTTATCTGGTATTGCGAGGCGGCGAGGGAAGGGGACTCTCACTCAGGAGAGAAAGCCCCCTTGCCAAGGCCTATCAAGTCTTCGATATCAATTAGCCCCCAACCGTACAACACCCACGATAGCTAGCTGGACTTACAACCTTTCGCAGTTGCTATCAGAGGCAACCACAACTCTAATAGAGTTGCGACGCAGAAACTCTAAGCAGGACCGCCAAGACCCTTGCGCGCCACGCAGTGACAGTCGATAACATGCATCTGGTGGGCTGCCACGCTGCCTTCAAGTTCAAGCCTTGTGAACCTCCCCCGGAGCAGCAAGGATGCCCAAAAACTCTCGTCAAGCCGGACCAAAATTCGGGTCCGGATTCGCGGGGGTGGTGGACGCCAACATCTGGTAGCCGATTTACCGCCGTCCCAGCGACGATGATAATCTAAGAAGGCCCCCAAAAAAAGCAGATTAGAAATACAAAGCCTCAGAACTGGCTTTCACCTGGCAGCGGCCACGGTAATGATCGCCAACAAGGAAAAAGGGGAGTGGGTATAGGTACCTTACTGTGTGATTTAAGCCCTTGGGGGCAGCCCTTCTGTGACCGAACGGCGTTGACCTACAAGTCGGGAAAGTCACGCGAACCGGGCCGGCACAAAGGACAAGGGCCCCGGGGACGACGTAGATTCAAAAACCGGCGAGCGGAATACCCGCCATGCCGCTCATCTTTGCTGTTTTTCATTTTCTGCCCACCCCCCGACCTTGGTAATTGGCAAACGATTACACTAGAAAGTCGACAGGAGACCAACTGGTGGCGAAATTCCAATGCTACCATACTGTAGTAAAGTCAGAAGTCAAATTTCGTAGCGGTTCATCGTGTCAGACCCCGCAGAGGAAGGGAGGGGGGCCGAGGGGAAAACGAGTAGAGATGACGCTTCGTCTCGGCCCGTTCGACAGGGACCGGGGAGGCTGAGAATTCCAGAAGAAACGGTGATCAGACGAAACCCGTCAAATAAGTTCAACGACACAGCTGAGCAAGGTAGCGCCTTTAAGAGACGCTCTAGTATGTTATGCTGTGAAGATTGAGTAAACATGTTTGTTTGCGGAACTCATCGCTGGTTTGCAATCTCTAACGTCTGTCAGCATTTACTTGTTACAGAGGCGTAAGAGACAAGAGGAGAGTGTTTTCCAGATCAATTTCGGTATACAGCGGGTAAATCATGGGAGATGCTCAAAGGAATAACCATTGACATATGATTTGGAAGCTCTGATGGAGCGGAATCGACGCGCCCAAGCCCATCGCAGCCACGCAAAGGACGTCATCAATGCAACGAAGCGGTAACCCAAAGTGGAGGGATGGAGAGGTCTCATGACGGACGCCCCCCCGACGCCAATCACTACCAAAGACGAGCCGCCGCACCGAAACCGTTGAGAGCGGCGCACCGTCTGCTTGGGAATTTGGATTGACGAGTGGCGTAGATTGAGGTGGTGCGGTGTTCCGGAAATAACAGCGGGCGGGCGCGAAGGCGCCGCAGATTTGCAAGATCTGTTCATTCCAGGCACTCGTAGCGGCTAACGAGACTGGCGGCCGGGGCAGCTGTCGATACGCCGGCGGCCTGGTTCGGCGTATCCGTAGTCTGCGACCCTGAAACGAAGGAGGCGACGACGTTTTTGCCCCGCCAAGGTTGCAAGGCCGTAGATGTTGTTGATAGGTTCCATCTATCCCGTGGCATTTGGAATGAAGGGTTAGCTACATGTGAGATTATACGGCTTGGCCTAGGTCTCCGAGGATGGTCAGGTTGGACTGATGGTATGATGCTCTTAAACCCTAGGTCTAGGTCAGCAGTCTTTGTTGACGTTGTCGTCCCGTACACCTATTGGCCCCTTTGAAATGAGCTGAGCAGAGCTTCCTGGCGACAAGTTTGCAGCTGACTGAAGGATCACCTCCGAGTTGAATTGTCGGTTTTGGCAATGAAACTGTAAAAGACAAAGCCGCTCACGTAAAGGAGCCAATTGGGCAATCGAGAGGTCGATGTGGATCTGCCCTGCAAGCCTGGGCACGCGTATTGAAACCTATTGAGGTTTAAGCTGCCTCTTTGGGGGCAACTCCCTCTGATGCCCTGGTTGTAAGGATCCTTAGTTCAAGGTAGTCGAATTCCCAAGTCAATGGTTCAGCCGCTGATTGGCCTTGGACAGGTGGTGAGAGAGGAAACAGATCTTCTTTCCTTCGTGATAGAGAGTTTGCGAAGACACCGAAAGCCCCGGTCAATGTAGCTGAGAAATGAGGTTGGACGAGAGACACAGAGAGCGAACAAAGCCTTTGCCGCCCGCCTCACCAATCACTTGGTTGGGGTCTCTCGACCCTCTGGCTCAACTGCTCTTGAACCTGGCACAGTGACAACTGCAGTGGAATACGTCAAGAGGTACTCCGTAGGCCGAACGCATTCAATACTCATCGGCCCTGATCCACGTACATTCAATAAGTCTTTTTTTGGGTGTCGAAAACGTGCTCCGTAAATAGAGAAAAGGGGCCGACGGGTAATCAACACATAGGAGCGTCGATCCAAGCTAATCTCTCCGTAGCGCCACTCAAACCCGCAGACTTCATTAGTTGGCGGGTATGATCTGCCACCAAAGAGGCTCCATTTATTGCGACCGAGGTGCCGGTCTGTTGTTTGACCCTGCCCGTTAGAGCAAAGACGCAGGAGACGGAGCCCATGAAGTCCGAACCGATTCAGATAGCCTGTGACAGCAATCAACAAAGAGGGGAAGCGGCCGCTTTGCAGAATAATAGAAAAATCTTCCTGGTCGATACATGAGCGGGCATGCATACGAAAGGGTCGAGGAGATGTAGCCGCTGCAAGTCATTCGAGTCGTGCGTGACATGACGACACAAAACCGAGCTGTTTGAGTCTTGCTGTCTGGCTACTCTGGTAGAATTGTCGAGGGCTGTCCTTCCGCGGGCCCCGCACCATGCAGAGAAAACCGTTTCCAGTAAAGCTCGGAGCCGGAATTGAGGCCAGTTGCATCGATGCTGTCCACGGGTGGTATTCGAGCGGGGCTCAGGGAACTTCTTGAGAGCTTGGGACCGCTAACTCTAGGGGGTCGTCCCTCGGCTGGCAGAACTTCGATAGCATTGCTGAAGATTTCATCGACCCGACTGGCCAGATGGGTTCATTTTCTTTGGAGGGTATCATCGCCGTGATCGCCAACTCCGGCGGGCGGCGGGTCATATGCGGCTGCTATGCGGTTGGTTCTAACAGTCACTGCTCGTTGGCCAGAACGATCCCACGTTGCTCCCATTTACCCTGAGTCGGGGGCTGGTTGATGCACATGACGAGAACACCTGTCTGTACCTAATCCAAGGAAGGTCTTTAGAAAGTCCTGGTCGTCTGCAAAGATGTTTGCACCAATGGTCGCCCGCCTGCAGCGCCGGCGATACGCTTGATTGGATACAATCAGGTTGGCGGCAATCCGTCCACCAAGACGTGTCATCTCTCACCTGCCACTGAAAAGACCTCGTTGCAGCCGGTCTGCGTCTTGACTTTTGCCTCGCAGTCCGCATTGGGAACAGGGGTAACAGCTAGTATTCCCGTGTAATGGAGCCTCTGTTCCTTTGTCTGGCTAAGGCGGAACTTGGAAGTTATAGCTCGTAACCTGTCAGTTGCCGTCGGCCGAGTGGGCATGCTTGAGTCGTCCGCCGAGACGATGGCTGGGTCTGGACTAGGTAAGCTCGTGGATGGGATACATTGCAAACGCCTCAATCCAGGTGTGTCTTTTTGATGAGGCAGCCATCTCGAAGTTGGACCCGGCCGCGTGGGTAGAAGAGCGAGGCCGTCTTCGGTTCGCGTGTCGAAGCAAAGTAAATCGGGTGGCGTGGCGTCAGGGTTCCGTCAAATCGTTTACGGCCGAT